ATGTTTCGTATATGGCGCGCACGCATGCACACGCACACACAAAAAAAAGCCCCCCCGGAGCTGTAGATCATCGGGAACAGGTATAGAATTTAGCGTGAACAAGCGGGCTGTAGATCATGGCGGTGGGCAGGGACGTCAGCACTCTCGTACACAGTGGGCCTTATTGCAGACTTTAATAGAGGAAACCCAGCATGAATCCCCACAGTCATTCTGTTCAAGCCAAACACACACCGTTCACAACACTCTGCTCTGTGTGTGTGTGCGTTAATACACACACGCGGGAGCGTACGTACTAGATGATGTGCCCCTGTGTGTGTAGCTGGTTAGAAACGGCTTCGATGGGGAGGCACGAATCCGACTGAGAGATGAGAGTGTTCGCATCCAACCGTGGCTGTGTGTGGATGTTCTAACTGTGGGAACAGTGTGTGTGTGTATGTGGGTGTGTGTGGGTGGGTGGGTGGGACTGAGGCCACATTGACCCATCAGTGCTGCTCTGTCACCTCTTCTCTTTATGAATCTGGCCTTTTAAAAGCCGGCTGGATTTATGGTCAGCCCGGGCACTATCTCAGTGTGTGTTGGTCTGTCTAAAGTAGAAGCGTGGACTTGTTTGCTGTCAGGAGAAGTGAGTTAAAAGCAAACATTGAGAGTGACAAGATGGTTAGCCGTGTTGCACATTGCCTCGGCGTCACAATGTGACGGCCACTTATTTCAGGGGGCCTGTGGAATAGGAACCCATTCAGCGCATACGTTGGCTCTCTCACCAAACGGGGTTCCTATTAGACGTAATAATCCAATCATTACATTTTTAATGACTTCGCGAGATTTAAGTTGGGTTGTTTACATCCCATCCGACGCCAGGTTGTTTGAGAAGCCTGGGTTTACGCAGACACAGATTATAATGTTGATACCAACGCGTAAACACGTACTGCATATTCACTCGTGCAGAGCCGAGAGGTGCAGATGGTGACTTGGCATCTTCCACTCTGCAAAACAAAATCCCCTATCATCTTAAAAATGTTATGCTCTAAATTGATTTCACAGTGCGAGAACCACCCCCCCCCCCCTTTCCAAACCCTCAGAGATTAACAAAATAAATTCCTCCTCTACTCCGGGAGAGAAGCGAGCGCAGATTTTCGCTTCAATCTCAGACAGGCTGACGTGGAGGATTTTGCTTGAGACCATGCATCTTTTCTCAGCGACTATAGGTGCCATGTAATTGTGAAAGGATTGTAATGTGTGGTCCATTTAGTTCATTAATGGGGCAGACGCAAGCCATTCAGCCAAGAAAACGCTTATTGTTCCCTTTACCTTCCCGTTTTTAATGTGTAGCATTACCCTGGCAGTTGTTAGTGGCAGACCGTGGGGCTTTGATGATGGTCAAATGACAAAGTCTTAATAGAATATAGTGGGACGGGCAGGACAAAGGTGGGCAATGTTCAGCTGGATGCAGCCAATTTTTGTGTGAGAGGCCTGCCTAAAAACCCTATTCATGGGCCGTCTAATGCTGCTGCGTAATTAAATGTGATTACTGGAGCAGAGGGCTTCGCTCTCCCTCTCTGAGGGCCACACACAGGACTGGAGGCAGCGTGCATGCACTCATTAAGGAGGTGCTAACAGATGAACACAAGCAACTACCACAGGCAAACCCCAAAACCTGAACCATCTCTCTTTTCCGCTGACAAATTGAAGCAAAAAAATCATGTATCTTTAAAATGTAAACCAAACACTACATTACAAAAAAAAAAAAAAAAAGGAAGAAAAGGAGGACGGAATATTCAAGGGAAGACATCTGAGGGAGGTTCATTTTTCCCCAAAGTTATCCGTCATCTGGAACTTAGGAGATGAATTAGCGTTGAAGAGTTTCAACCTGACAGTCTCCCCAAAATTAGCCAGATCAAATAAACACACACAAAGTCATGTAGGGATAAATAAAAAGTAAGTAGTAACCTTCATTCAATGATAATCAGGGGGCCACAAAAAAAACAAACAAAAAGCAACCTGAAATCTAAACAAAAATCAATTATGCTCTCCACCCCCACCCGGCGTGGCGCGCACACACCTCGTCTGGCCCGCTCTCCGGTTGAGTTTCCTGGGCAGACTCAGTCCCCCTGGTGCTCATGGGAAACAGCCAGCATGCCAGGCCCCACAAAGGCGTCCTTTCAGCAGCCCGCATGCTTGACCTGCGCAGGGTCAGCGCTCTGCTTTGTGCCCCGTGACCCCGGAGTGACCTGGGGGTCACCCTGAGGGCCTGGGGTCAAATCCAGATGCCTGCGTCCAATTTCACCCCAACTGGGTTATCTGTCCAAATCTGCCCGAAAAATGTGCCCCTCCCGTACCCTCTTAAAACTACTACTACCTCCGCACATAACAGAGTCCCATAGAAATACACGGGCCCTCAGCAGTCTAATTGGACCACTGTGGAGGAGTGCTCACACTTGAGCCCTCTCTCGCTCTCTATCAAGCACGCGCGCACACACAGACACACACAAACACACTGGCTTGACCCCCTGTAACTGCTCTAATACCGCATCCCGTGGCCATTGGTCAATCTTGAGGGATTAGGTGCAGAGAGACGCGCATACAACCCAAGATACATCCATATACATACACGCACACAGACACACACACACACACACACACACACAATCACACACGAGTGCAGCAGGCCTGGCCGAGAGTATACCTTGAGGGATTATGTGCAGAGAGACAGGACCCTCCAGCCAATCAACCGGTCTGTCACATTGATTTTGAGGGGTCACTGGTGCACAATAGCCAGGGTTTTCCTGTCTTAACTTAAAACACACACACACACACGCACAGATTCAATACACATTATTTACATTAGCAACAAGAGGTATGAGAAAAAACTAAAAGATTAAACAACAGAGTGCAAATATTCTGCTTTAAAATATCTATTTTGTTAAAATATTTAAATGTACATGTATGTATTGTTAAATGACTCAAGGAAAGGTCATTTTGGCAGCTATTGAAGTAGGTATTAAAAAGAAAAACTGCTCCGTTTTTCACATATGGACACACACACACCTCTGATATTCAAAATTCCCCTTCTTTGCCTCTCAAAGCTTCATCACATCCCTGCTTCTGAAAATCCCTCTTCCCTGGGGGAAAACACACCCGGCTGGGGGGAAAGCTCTCAGGTCAACCCCCCTCCGTCCAACCCCCGGCTCCTTTTTCTCCTTCCTGGTCAAACAACACAATAGTCATGTATCAGAAAGGGCACCAGGCAGGCACTATAGCTAAAGGAAATATACCGGGCCGCTGCCAGCAACAATTCAGGTGCAAGGCTGAGCCTTTTCTCTCCAACGTCATCCACGTTTGGTTTGCTCCATTTTAGTCTTTTGTTGCATGTTTCCTTTTCCTGAAAGGAATATATGAGGCCTCTGGAAAAACAGGATTTAAACATGTCTGTTAGTCCTTAAGTTAGGTAAATATAACAGTTTAAAAATATACAGTTACACGTTAAGGTGCCCAGGGGGAAAAGGAACAAAAACAATGTCAAAAAATGTTTGAAAGCTATGAAAGGTAAAAGCAATTACGCATAATAAAATATCCCATGTGACTGATGTAATACCATAAAAGTCATTAAGAAACGGTCAATGATGCATTACTGTACCAGCTGGAAAAATAATGTTACATTCCAGTTATCAGACCAGCGGTTCCAGATTCCAAAGGAGCGTATGAAATATAATCCATGTGCCTCCAAAAAGCAAATGGCTGGTAAAACAGTCTTAAATAAATTCAATATAAAAGTCATGAATTAGAGTGATGACAGAACACAAAAATGTAACTAAATAAAAATACACTAAATAAAAAATTAAATATAGCAAAAAAAGACTAAATTTAAAAAGAGAATAGATCAGGACCCCAAGGAGACCGTAAATAAAAAATACAAAAGTATAAAATGGAAGAAAAAGAGTGACCAATACACAGCAAAAAACTACTGCGAAGAGATGTAACCTACAAAATAAGTAATGCACTAAATCTAAAGCAATGTGACATGAATGGAAATAAAGATTTGGTCTATTTTCTAAATGATACATAATAAATAAATAAATGGAAAAAAAGCAGTTCTCACTGACGAAATAAACAAATAATCACCCAAAACTGACAGAAATTTTAAATGAAAATTACTGTAAGGGCACACAATAAAAAGGAAAATAAAATAAAAAAGCTCACAAATAATAAATATGAATAGACAAAAAGTATGAATGAAACTAAAGGCAAAAAATATATAGATGATTTATTTAAAAAATCCACCAGCAAAAAAATCATAATTAGGACAAGAAACCAGCTAAATGGAACATTTTTACCCATTTGAAACAAGATGACCGATCAAATATAAAAATTAAGCACCTACACAATAAAAGACACAAACAAGGAACACAGCAGAACAAATAAATAAACAAATCTAGGTTTTGTCTGAGGAGTACATGTACTATCACGTTCTTTGTCATGGGCCTCTCATTTAAAAACTGATCCTGGGGATATGAAAGCGAAATGCAATTTTATCCCGTTTTAATTTTTCTGTTAACTGAACCATATCACTTTTGTGATCTTAAGGCAATTTGAAATAAAAACCACGTAAAAGGTGTGAATGGGAAATAATCATCTCTTAAAACCCGTTTCAACATTTCAGTGGAGGACTACAAAAAAAGAAATTGCAACTTGGATTTACAGACCAACTAAATACCAGGAAATTCAATTTCAATTTGGACAAAACTACATTCCGTCTGGCGAGGAGATTGCTTGAAAATAATATGTGATTATTTGATGCAAAAAGTATCCATAGTAATAAAATTAAGAAAGAAGAAGAAGAAGAAAAAAACAAAAGATCGTGAGATAAAGAAGAGAACTTCTAGCCAAAACGCTCGTCTCCAGTGGCACTGAGTGACCACTAGCAGGCGCCCACAGATTCCCGCGGTCCCTGAAAGCAGCGCACTGCGTTGTCTTCCCTCTCCTCCTCTACTGTAATGTGTACTTCCTGGATACGCGTTCAGAAAAACAGCTTGGATTTGTATTCAGAACCACCCATCAGGGGTTCAGTTTACTGGCACAAAAAACCCCAAAAAGTACATTCGTAACGACACGTAACGTTTCGATGATAACGTAAAGAGTACAAACGAGGCGGAGAGCGGAGAGAAAGCTAGGTAAATAATGGAGCCATTAACGGTAGGCAAGTGAGCTGTGTGGCTAATAATAACAATACTCCATTTAAAGTTGTCGGTATGTATTTAAAACACGTTTACGTTGACTCCTAATGTGCGTTTTTTTTTTGTCAGGTGGTATTGTACCACACAAAAGAGGGTGAAAGCGTGTCAAACTGTTATCTGCGTTTCCTTACAGAGCGCCACGTCACTGAACAACGGAGAAGTCAGAAGGAGCCGCCGAGTGCCACCCCCCGCCGCGGGCCACAGATTACACCGCTCCGCCTCACCGGACGGCGGAGTTTACAAGTGCCCCCGGTCCCCGCGTAGTTTTGCTGTACTCACTTCTTCTCCCTGCCTTTTTTTAAACTGACCGTGACGTAGAGGCTGAAAATGACGGCGTCCAACTGGGGCCTTATCATGAACGTGGTGAACAGCATCGTTGGAGTCAGCGTACTCACCATGCCCTTCTGCTTCAAACAGGTGGGTCAGCCATACTCCCGCCAGCGGAAGTGCAGGTGCAGCCATAAAAAACCTCCCCCTCAAAACAACAGCATTCATTTTAGGGTTACAGGAACCATTGTAGTCGTAACTAATCTGAAAACAACAACAACAAAACTTCAAACATGAATGAACTTGTGCCAAATTGTTTGTAAAACACAATAAAAAGGAAGGAGAATTTGGTAACAGTCTGTGACTATTTAGATGTCTTGAATTCTGTGGTCATTATACCATCTCAGTATCCTGAGGCACTACTGATGATTGCTGTTGATACACCTTAAAACCAAAATAAACTTGTGATTGCTTCCTGGATTATTTGATTAAGCAAATAAGTTGCATAAACGCAAACAGATGACAGATAACGTGAAACATCCTATTTCATTTACAACAGAAATTAACGTTTACATGGTTGTATGTTTTGTGTAATGACATTTGCAAGAAGGAAATTTTGTTCAGTGAATTTTCCTATATTTTGGCATCTTCCTCATAGGACCATTGAATTGTTCATTCAAGATAAACAGCATTTCCAAACAAGTTCTGGCACACATCTTTTTTTCTTTTTTTTTTAACGAAAGCATCTCTGAGCACCCTTTGACAAAATAACATTGGACCCGTTTGTGTGTAGAGTACAATGAAAGCATGGAGAGTAGTTAAGATTTTTGTCATCTCATTGTGATGTCAGACAGCCTGTTTCCTGTGAAACATGTCTCTTCCTTTTTGAGAGTAGCTTTTTCTTGTTTATTTAAAAGATGAGATAATCAGTGGAGTTAAATATCATATGATGTGCCACTCATCAAGAAATGGGACACGCCTCTAAAGTTACCAGTTAACAAAATACATTGTTTTTCTTAAAGAAAACAAACAAAAAACTGAACAGTATTGTGTCATCATTAAATGCGAGCTGTAGACAGCTTTGCCATGATGGAAAAATTACATTTGACATTGAAAAACAGGTAAGGCTGTACTTGTTATTACTTATATGTGGAGATTTTTAAAGAAAAACTCTTCTTACAGTGTGGGATTGTTCTTGGAACTCTACTGCTGTTTTTCTGCTCATGGATGACCCATAAATCCTGCATGTTCCTGGTCCACACTGCCAGCAACACCAAAAGAAGAACCTATGCTGGATTAGGTGGGTAGAAAACATTCAGAAAAGTAAACAAAAGCTGATTTTTCTTTTTCTTTTCTAAATTGAATGCATTTTTTTTTCAGTCAGTCATTTTTTTGCTGAAACAAACTTTCTGAGGGGCGTTTGTGCTTAGAAGTACTTGTATTTGATAAAATACACTAAAGCTACTTATAGCTACTTAAACTTGAGCCTATTTGACAACCAACCAAACCAGACTAACCACAGTGATAGTGAACAGAACCTTTTGAGCCCCAGTTGCTGCAATGCCCTTCACACTGCAACACCAGTTTATTATGAGAGGTAGATGAATATTCAGCGTAGTTTGATCCAAGCACACGTCATCAGAGGTGTTGCTTTTGCTCCTTGCATTGGCTTTGTTAACATGCACATACCTATGCTCTCTGCAGCCTTCCACGCTTACGGGAAACCAGGGAAGATGCTGGTGGAGATGAGGCAAGTTTCACTGGTTTTCCACAGCCGTCGGTTTTTTACTGTGCATTTGATGTTCAAGTCTGAGAATATTCGTAAATAACGGCTGAATAATTTGTTTTCTCTCTCTCTGGCTTGGCAGCATGATCGGGTTGATGCTGGGGACCTGTATCGCCTTTTATGTTGTCATTGCGGATTTGGGCTCAAATTTCTTCGCTCAGCTGTTGGGTTTACAGGTTAGACATCAATATTCATTGTACTCTTTTCTATATCTAAGAATTATTATCATCAAGGTGTTTTTTATTTTATTTTATTTTTTTCATATTTTATTTTTTCAAAGTTTTCAATACAACATTAATAACACAGAACAGTTCGACATAGAGAGCAGTTAACAAAAATGCAGTTTGTTGAAAGTAACAATGAATCATTAATCATTTTGAGGTACTATCATCAAGGTGTTTGTTCTTTTTTTGTCACTGTTCTCCTGTTTCCCATTCTGTTGATTTTACTCTTCCATCATTGAGTGTAGCTTGAGCTTGTAGTGAATACATAGAAACTGGAATGAAAACCGGGTTTTATCGCTCCCTTCCGGTAAGGTGACGGGCAGTTTCCGCGCGCTGCTGCTGGTCGCCGTGTCTCTGTTCATCGTGCTCCCCCTGAGCCTGCAGAGGAACATGATGTCGTCCATCCAGTCCTTCTCAGCCATGGCGCTCATGTTCTACACCCTGTTCATGTTCACGGTGAGCCCGCTGCCAGACAGGCAGCTACTTAGCTACTCACAAAGCACATTTAAGAAGCCAATCAGTCTGTTAGCGTAAGGCCATTTTATCATAAAACTAAAGACAATGATCCCATCGGCACCACATTAAGTACACTCAGGCTGGAAAGTATCACATATTTGGCTTGCACCAAAAAACGTGAGTTAAACACAAGCTTCTTTCTGATACAGCCACAGGAGTTCTGTTAATTGTTTAAGAGACATTACTATGAGAACAAAAGGCCCTCATCCACCTTCTGGAGACAATCAATGGCATAAAAATCAAACAGCTACTAGGAGATACTCTTGGTATAACTTAACCCAGCTCAGTAACAGCTGAGGGAGAGGGGTTTTTCTCCCAGCAGAAAACACAAAACGACTGATTCTAGGTGTGGAGAAAACCCAACACAAAGTCCAAGCTAAGATGAGGTTTAAACAGAAGGAGCTTCCATCATTTTAAGCCAGTTTAAATTAATCTTTGTTGGTTACAGACTGCGTGCTAAGTTATCAGTCGTACATTCACACAGCATTTTCTAGTCCGTGTTGGTTATATATTTACTGAAGACATGTATCAAAGATGAATGTATAGTTTACAGTTTAGTTACTTTGTCACATGAAATGTCGATTCTTCCTTCCTTGCTCCATTGTTTAGAACTGTGTTTCCTTACCAGCACAGTATTGTCTTGCTCCTCCATTTTAAAGAGCAAATCCCCACTAAATCATTTTAGACAGAAAACGGCTGCTCCGCTGCTCTTTTGTGGACTAAAATACGGGCTTTCAACTGTGAAAGCACAGCTTGGAAAACTTTACACAGAGTAAGTGCAAAGGAAACGAAATTCAGCCGGTCGGTTTCAACAAAAGAAAATCACCTCTTTCACTCTTTTTTTTGCTAATGCAGTCAAATGAAAGGCAGATTTTATGTCAAATATTTTCCTTTTACCTTGCCTTTTTCCCTCATAAGTTCAGCTTTGCTGTCTTTTCTACACTCAGCGTGGGATGCCTGATCTACCCGCCCACGTATCCATGCAGGTCAGCTCCGATTTGCAGCACCTGTAACGCAGATAGCTGCTAAAACACCTTAGGTCAGAGGCCCCAACGACCAATCCAACGTAGCTCCGTGAGCAAAACAGCTTTTAGTTTAGTCAGAGTACGAGTGGGACTCTGCTAAGAGTGTACACGCTGCACGGTGCCTATTTTCTCTGACTGGAGGAGGCCCCACTGTACGGTAACGCAGTCAAACGGCAGCTAAGTGGGACCCCAAAAGCGCTGAGCGGTTGTCGTATTTACTTTGACGTCGCAGAGGACGGACAGCTCCCTCACAGCTGACACCGCCTGCCGAAAGCTTTGGGTCCTAAGACAGTGGAGCTGCAGCTTTTCTGCCTCATGTGATTTAGCTTTTTTACTCTTTAAAGTGCACACAGAGTGTGTGTGTACACGACAGCAGCCCCGCTTAAACGGTCTCCATCCTGCTGTTTTATATGCTCTGCGTGAAGCCACATGTTTATGTTTAGCATTCTGATGACCTGGGACAGGGCTGTGGTGTGTCCAGCTTTAGGCCCGGCCCGGCCCAGACCCCTGACCCTCTAACAGTGACGTATCTCATTCCCTTCCCTCTTTCATCCAACCCTTAAATGTTCTCCTCTTTACTCTCTCTTCAATGTAACTTTCCTGGTTGTCTTCCTCTCTCTTTTTTCCTCCCCTCTCCCCTCTCTATTACCGCCCTCTCTCACCCTCTCCGCCCCCCCGTGTGCGGCCCCCTTCTCCCTCCTGCCGCCTTTTTCCTGCTTCCGGTGCCGTAGATAGTGTTGTCGTCCCTGCGCTACGGCCTAATCTCAGGTTCCTGGGTGGAGCAGGTTCACCTGTGGCGCCTGAAGGGCGTCATTCAGTGCCTGCCCATTATCGCCACAACCTTCTGCTGTCACCCGTAAGTAAACCCACGGAAAAGCCCCCCCCCCCCCCCGACAATCACAGCACCGTCAGGGCCTCGGGGGGAGGGGCGGAGAGCGAAGGGGGGCCCAGTGTTTGCCGCGAAACCTTCCTCCGGCCCGCCCGAACCCCCTCTGCCCGTTCCCTCTCCCACCCATCCCCGCCCCCCCCCCCCCCCCCCCACCCTTAATGCCGGTCTGGTTGGAGCCGTTGGAGCTCTGTGACTTTCTGCATGTGTGTGCGAGTGTGCCTTCGGTGGCAGCAGTAATAAGGCGACGGGGTTTGGCATACTGAAGCAAAGCTTTCATCCTGGCTGCCTCCTGACCAGCGCCCCACATCCAGTCAGAGGAGCCCGGGTGTGCGGTGGATGGGGGGGGGTGGGTGGGGTTCTGGCTGGAGCGCTGTGGGTTTTTTTTTTTTTTTTTTCCAGGCAATGCAAGGAGCAAGACATAGGAAACACATGCTGGTGAAAAACCTGCCCCGCTGCCTTTCCGACCCATCAGATTTGTCATTTCGGTTCGATCCATTTCATTTCACCGTCATCTCAGGGGTTTTGTGCCCCCCCCCACCCAACCGCCCAGCTATGCAGGTTTTTCATCCATTATGGGTTTTCCTGTCGTTTCCCCCTCTCTTCATTTTCTCCGATTTTTTTTTTCTTTCTCTTCATTCAATACTGTCATTATCTCTCTGTGAGCCATCAACATGGGTGCAGCTCCCCTCCCTTCTCCATGTTCTCCCTCCACTTGTCTTCATTTGGTTTGGGCTGTAACTCCCCACCCTCCCCGCCTCCTTCCCCTCAGATGGTGCTGTCTTCGTTCAAACATGGGCTGCTCAGCGGCTGGTGGCTAGGGCAGGTCTATGTGGTGCGCTGGGAGGGTGTGTTTCGCTGTCTCCCCATCTGTGGGATGGCCTTCGCCTGCCAGTCGTAAGTACTCCCCGTGCCCTTCCACTCGCTCAGGATCATGTCACGGAAATGATGTGAAAAAATGGCTAAAGAATTCCTGTTTCTTTTTTTTTTTTTTAAACCAGCCGCACATCGATTTATATAGTATTGACATAGTCCTTAAATGACGTGCTGAGTAATGACCAAACGTGCCCACTCTCCGACTCTGTGAATGAGACCTTTCATCGGCGCAAATAGAAACTGAGCAAATCTTACAATAACTCCATGTATACTCGCAGCATTCCTCGAAGCCAGAGTGAAGGGTTTGAGGTGAGTTTGCCTTGTAAAGAGAAAAGCAGCTTAATTGAGGAGATGCCATGACAAGTCATGCCTTGTTGCAAAGACAAACTACTTCTTTGGCTCGAATGGTTTTTCCCCAGTTTTGCTCGTCAGCCTCTGCTCCATCATGGGGGCCCGCCTTCTGGAGAATTGACCCGCCGCCTCACCCTCTTTTAGCCTGCTTAATTCGTTTAGTCATCCCCTTCTGCGGTGCAGCATAATCTCGCTGTTGAGACGAGCAGAAGTTTGAAATGACGCCTTCTTAAGGCTGCAGTCTAAATTTTGACACGATCCGATAAAGAAGGCCGGCCCTGTGCTCAGGACTGCTTCTGAGGCCCCACAGCTGATGGTGCAAAGATTGTTGCTAATGCTGCCCGACACAGTGGCTGTCTTATGGACAGCAGAAAGAATCAACAAAAAGTGTTTCAGCCAGAGGCTTATTCAACTCCACTGTTTGTATTTTTACATTCCTGCCTTAGCAAAAGCTTACATATATATATAATAAACCTATATATATATATATATATATATATGATACTAATAATTGCTTACAAAAGTAATGTCTCCTGACCTGACATAGGCAGTTTCTCCAATGAATGATTGACCAAATTCTGAAAATCTAAAACATAAGCTGATATAACACTTTCTTTGCATCCTGTTGACTCTTCCGACCTGTCTTTTCACCAGTCACAGCCTCATCCAGCCACTTTTCCCGCTTTTTTAAAATCAATCTTTTTAATCCTCACTCCCATCCCTCTGCATGCTCGATCACTGCCCTTTTTTCGCCCTCCCCTCTCTGATTTAGTGCTTGCTCTGAGTTTGCTCTCGGTGGAGCGGGTTGCGGGCGGCATGAGAGTTTTCAGCTGGAACCTCGGTGGCTGAAGTTCATCTCTGACTTGAATGCTGTGCCTGGGGAGGGATGAAGGGGGGGGAGGGGGGTTGTTATGGTGAAGCCACTGTTCGCCAGATGTTTGGGTGGCAGCGATGTTTGTTGGGTGACTGTAGTCAGGAGTTGAAAAGAAAAATAGACTTAAATGAATGTAATCACCCAAAGCCAATAAAACATTATGGCATGGTGGGCATGTGCATGTCACCCAAAATGGAGAAAGTACATGCTTGTTGTACTTGTGTGCTTTGTGAGTCGGTTCCCACTAGTTGTGCTAAGTGATATTTGGCAGGGTGATTTCTTGGCCTGTGGTCAGGCTGAGCGAGGCAAGCACTCTGTTAGGCGGCAGGCAGCTTAAGCCAAACCACTAATCAACACATTGGAAAGCAGCCATCTTACAGACACACTGATGCATTCACAGGCTGATTAACCAGCTCTCAGCACATTGAATTTTTATTACATTCATGAAATGTGTTTACTTTCAGTTAAAGCATTACTTAACATCGCCATTATGACGAGATGGGAGCTGGCCCTCTTGTGTTTTTTGGTTGAGGTTTTGAATAGTGCGGAGCAGTTAGCTCATGGCAGACGGGTGCAGAATAAACCTGCGCGGCAACGCCGTTGGTCAAACTATCTTCTGCTATGACCTATTCAAAAAGTGATCTCCATTGGTTATAAATATGGCAAAAAATTGTACCGTTCCAGAGAGGAAAAAGATAAGAAAAGAAGGAGTTTATGAAAAAGTGTCATGGCTTAATTACCCATTAGTGAGGGCCATGACACACATCCCAAAGCTCTCTAGGCAGAGAAAGGCCAACTGATAAAGTGGAAAGTGTTTTTCAGACTCAGGGATGCCTAATAAGAGAGGCTCCTGTTCCAAAACAGCTGAGGCGATACGGAAAATGAGGTCAAACGCTGGGGGTGTGCTATTTCCCCAAATCAGATCACCTGAACTAAGTCTGTTCTGCTACTCTGTAAAGAAACATTGGCTATTGTTAAGTTCTGTCTGAATTCAACAGGACAGGAAGCCTTTGTAATAATTATAAAAGAGAAAAAACTATGAAAGAAATGAGTCCCTCAACTGGATCTCATCTGCAAATCAAGTTGTCATTTATCCTGTGCAGCTATTTTTTTAGGACACACAGGCCTTGAGAGTGATGCCAACACTTTTTCATGCTAACATTTTTTTTTTATCAAAGCCTACCTTTACTTTAAAGACTCTCCATCATATTCCATCTGTTAAGTGCAGAGGACATTAGCCTCTGAGTCAGGATTGTACAGTGGCCATAAGGAGATTTAGCTCATACATTAACAATGTATCTGTTTTTTTTTGTGTGTGTGTGTTTTTTTTTAACCTAGGCCGTAAGATTTACTGGTTCCTGGATTAAACAGGCATCAGTGAATAGCATCATGGGACAGTGCTCGCTAATAAAACCAGAGTGTGTGAAAGTGAGACATGCAGAGGGAGAACAAGAGCCAGAGAAAGTTATGGCTTCTCGCTCCCCCTCTCACCTCGGCCTCCGTGGCTCCTCCTTTTGTGCCAGAGCAAGAAGGCGAAAAAAAAAAAAAAAAAAAGACTGCCAGGAAAGTTTATAATGCCCTAAAACCTGTCAGGCGCTCGCTGTTTTATATAAAGTCTGTAAATTCACTGGTTAATGTGCCAATGGACCCCTTCACATGCCTACTCTTTCTTATAGCACAGAGCAGGAAATGGTGAAGGGTGGGGGGGTGGGGGGGGCGCCGAAAATGGCTGCCTCGGTGCTTTCACCAAAGCAAATTCCTTGTATGTGTAAACCTACTTGGCAATAAAACCCAATTCTGATTCTGATTCTGATTCTGATTCTGGTAGACACCTGGCCAACCGGACAGAGAAGGGCTCCGGTCAAATAGTCTTTTTCTGCTTGTGAAGGTTCTTGACTGAGCAAAACAAAGTATCTGTAGGTAGCTGGGAGATGAGAGCCGTTCAAAGGGAAGAGGTCTGAGTACTTCCTTCATCATCTCCTTTGAGTGAGGGGAAACACTGGGCCATCTGTCATGAATGCAAAGAGATGATTACCTCCTACAGGTCCTCCAGTCCGCTACTTTCAAACCAATGATTTTCATCCACTCAAAGTAATTGTAATTAAGGGTAAAAGACATTTGGAATGGAGGGAATGGAGAGCGAGCAGCCTGTGAGAGCCCTATGTTTAATTTCTGGACGACAACATGGTGAAGTTGAATTTGGGGAAGTGGAACAGGGGGTTTTTTTCTGTTTTTTTGCTGCTTTGTTTGTGGTTTCTGTGCTGCAGAACCTACAAGCAAAAAGCCGTCGGAGCGTGCCCGTCCTGAGCTTCAGCCAGCCTTGACCACTGTCACCCACTCTTGAGTCACACACATGCAAGAAGTGCATGCACTCCGAAACTCTGAGCACACGATTACCCCACTGCCCTTATATTTCACGCATGTTCTGCCAGTCACACAATGGCTGTGTTTACCTGCTGCACAATGCACCTAAGCTACAATATTAGTGGGTGTTTGGGTTCTGGGAGGCTCATTTTTCCAATCAGTTACGCACAAAATCTATAATATTTAATCTAATTCATTTTAATCTGTTATAATCCATTTAAATCCTTTTAAATTTATGTCAGCTAATTTATACATCTTCTATAATATGTGTACATCTTATTCTTATTCATATTCATTTATGGGTAAACAGGCTAAGTATATACAGAAAGCATTTAGTATCTCTTAGTCAAAGTCTTTTTTTTTTTTTCAAGTTTTAGTACCATTCTAGTCACTGAAAAACTATCAGGTCCACAATAGA